AATGAAGGCAGAGAGGTGGTGGGGGTGGAGCTGGTGTCTCCCCCATGGGCTCAGCTCTGGCTGTTCACTCTGAACCCTAACGCTGGGGGTTTGGGGCAGGTGTGTTCCTTGCAGGTTCAGCTCCAGCTGTTCACTCTGAACCCTAATGACGGCAGCGAGGATGTGCCGGGTGGGCAGGCAGGGAGGTTTTGGGCTGGGGGGGAGGTTGTTGGGATGGTCCCTCCTGCCACCAGGCTCCATCACCGCGATGACAACATCATCACGAACTCTGCGGGACAAGGGAGGAGGGCGTGAGGGGCCGTGGGGCTGAGCCACGTGCTGGGGGGGGGGTGAGGCTGTGCTCTCTGTCCTCTCACCGTCGAAGTCCACGCGCCCGTCCCCGTTCAGGTCCACGTCCTGCAGGATCTCATCCACCTCCTGGGCCTTCAGCTGCTCCCCCAGCAGGGCCGCGATGGCCTCGCGCATCTCGGCGCTGCTGATCTCCCCGTCCCCGTTCATGTCGAACTGCAGCACCCACGGGTTGGGGGGGGGCACCTTTCCCACCCCCCCCCTCCTCCTCCTCACCCTCCCTCTGGGGCCGTGGGCATCCCATGGGCACCAGTTTCCCGTGGCCATGGTCTCTCCTCATGGTCTCCCCATGGTCGTTGTCCTTCCACGCCTGTAGTCACCCCCGTGGTCACCATCCCACCGCGGTCATGGTTAAGCCCGTGGTCACCATCCCACCACGGTCATGGTTAAGCCCATGGTCACCATCCCACCGCGGTCATGGTTAAGCCCATGGTCACCATCCCACCATGGTCATGGTTAAGTCCGTGGTCACCATCCCACCATGGTCATGGTTAAGCCCATGGTCACCATCCCACCATAGTCATGGTTAAGCCCGTGGTCACCATCTCACCACGGTCATGGTTAAGCCCGTGGTCACCATCCCACCACGGTCATGGTTAAGCCCATGGTCACCATCCCACCATGGTCATGGTTAAGCCCATGGTCACCATCCCACCATAGTCATGGTCTCCCCATGGTCTTCCCGTGGTCACTGTCCTCTCCATGCCTGTGGTCACCCCACGGGTTTCCCGTGCTCACCATCACCTCTGCAGTCACCCCTACCATCACCTTCTCCCCATGGCCTTCCCATGGTCTCCATGCCTGCCACCACCCCCATGGTCACCACTCTCTTGTGGTCGTGGTCACCTGATGGTCTTCTCATAGTTATCATCCTTCCCATGCCTGTGGTCACCCCCATGGTCACCACTTCCCAAGGGTCATGGTGTCCCCATGATTTTCCCTTGCTCACTGTCCCCTCCATGCCTGTGGTCACCCCCACGGTCACCACTTCCCAAGGGTCATGGTGTCCCCATGATCTTCCCTTGCTCACTGTCCCCTCCATGCCCACGGTCCCCTCCATACCCACAGTCACCTCACAATCTCCCCACACCCACTGTCCCCTCCACCACCACCACCTCACGACCTTCCCATGGTCACCGCCCCCTCCGTGCCCATGCTCCCTGTCCCCATGGCTCTTCACCCTCCGTGTCCCTTGTCCCCATGGCTCCCCACGGTCCCTCCAGGCTGCTGTCCCCCCCGTGTCCCCAGCCCTGGTGGTGCCCACACCTCACGGAAGGCGATCTTCAGCTCCTTCACGCCCACCATGTGAGCCGTCTCCTCCCGCAGCTTCGGGCCCATCATCTGCACAAAGTCCTCGAAGTCCACGCGTCCACCCACTGCAGGGAGGGACACCCTGAGCACCCCCTGCCCCACCCCTGCCCCCCCC